CCTAGCGACGACAGCGACGCCAGTACCGAGACGATCGCGGAGAAACACCAGCGACTCCGCGTAGCTATACAGGAGAGGCGACAGCTAGAAGAGATCGAAGAGATGGAAAGGGAACTCGTAGGCGGGTCGCCCGCGAGTAGCATATAGGGCGTAGGAAGCTCGCTAGGCAAGAGACCCGCGTCCCAGGACCTAACTATACGATATAGGCGCGCCTTCCCCTCGCCATTATACTGAGGCGCCTCAATCAAAGACCTCCGCGACTTCCTTCTAGGCTGCAACGTTTATTTCGGCGCGGTCGAGGAGCACGACGAACGCAGGCGAGTCGCAGTCGCCGCGTCCTACCTTCGCGACGAGGCCCTTCGGCAGTGGTCCCGCCTATCAATTCACCCTACAACCTGGCCCGAGTTCGAGTAAGTACTGCGAGACATGGTCTAGGACCCTGCGAATCGTATGGTAGACATATCCTTAAAGCTTAAGAGGCTTCAGTAAGATAAATTATCGGTACGAGAGCTTGTATCAGCGATTAAGGACCTCGAGGATGAGATCCCTGACCTTACGGTTGAGGAATAAAAGGCCTGGGTCCTTATAAACTACTTACGGCCTGAGCTGCGCACCGCGGTCCTGCGCGAGGCGCGTGAGATCCGTACGCGAGTATAAATATAAGGCCTTGCGCAGCGACTGGCTGAGGTTGGCCAGTAAGAGAAGGTTGCTACTCCTGTGCGATAGGGTAGCGAGTCGCGCGCGGGACGCGCGGGAGAGAAGAGTACAGGCAATAGGGCATGCTACCGCTGCGGTAAAGAGGGCCATATTGCGAAGCACTGTACGGAGCAAAAGTAGGACCGTCTCTAGCTAGGTGGACTTGGTGTGTGACCGTATAGTAACCCACAGATGGCCTGAGGGCCTACGGTGGTATCTTGCGGCGTGCCTAACTCACTAAGGATAGAGGGGGATTCGCGCTATGCTCGGAGCATGTTCGCATGCGACTTACAGTAGACTCTGTGGGGGCGGTACTCAGTGGATTCTGTTTATCGGGTATGCGTGGACTCGTATACGGGTCGCAGTGGACTCTGCGACGGGCTTCTACGGCACAAAAGGATAGGTGGCGTAT